CCTGTAATCCCAGCTACTCGGGAGGCTGAGGCAGGAGAATCGCTTGAACCCGCGAGGTGGAGGCTGCAGTGAGTCAAGATCATGCCACTTCATCCAGCCTGGGCGACAGACTGAGACTCTGCCAAAAAAAAAAAGATACAGCTACAGAGGCAAACACCAGGACAGTGGCTGCCAAGGATTGGGATGGGGAAGAGATTGACTACAAAGGGGCATGAGGGAACTTTAGGGGGAAAGATGAAATATTATCTATTATCTGTCATAATTGTGGTAATAGTGGTACAGCTTACATTTGTTAAAACTGTAGATGTGTAGACCTAAGAAATGCAAATTTTACTGTGGCAAATTATACCTCAGTAAACCTGACTTAAACATACACACACACACACACACACACAACAACAACAACAACAACAACTGCTTCTCAACAGGTTGAGATGAGTCTGCATTAGAAACTTGTTCTAGACTGAGTACAGTGGCTCACACCTATAATCCCAGAACTTTGGGAGATCAAGGTGGGAGCACTGCTTGAGGCTAGGAGTTGGAGACCAGACCGGGAAACATAATGAGATCCCGCCTCTAAAAAAAATTAAGAAATTAGCCAGGCATGGTTCTAGCTACTCAGGAGGCTGGGATCACTTCAGCCCAAGAAGTCTAAGGCTTCAGTGAGCTGTGATTGTGCCACTGCACTCCATCCTGGGTAACGGAGTGAGATTCCGTTGCTTAAGGAAAAAACAGAAACAAAAACAGACAAAAAAGTTGTTCTAAACGAAGCCTTACAATTGGTACTCTCCTTAAAAGGCAGAGGAAAGAAGATAGAAGTTTTTAACAGCAAAAGCATTTTCTGAATGTTTGAAAAATGCACACAGCATAAGCTGTTCATTGTCTGGGGCTGTTTGGAAGTCTAAATTAGTAGATTAAATCTCAACTCTCTGAAGCAGCCAGGAGGCACTTTCAGGTCCCTATCGTAAGTTCAACTGGCCTCCATTGGTCAGGTTAAGACCCTTTAGGGATCTGCTGTATGGAAGAAATGGAACAGTTTTATTTACTAAATCAATATGTCAGGATGCAAATGAGGGCCTCTGGAGTGGTAAAAAACAGATTAGTCTCAGAAAGATCAAAAACTTCATCTGCAACATCTTTTGGACCATTAGGCATTGCACACTTATAGAACAGGCTGGATTCAAGTCCACCGCCTCTCCCCCAGGACTAGGCATGTAGAATACTCGAGCCAGTAACTTATAGTCAATGCCTTTGTTCAAAGCCGGAATGCTTGGTTCTGCATTGCAGGAACAGTGAAGACAGACAGCATCTCCTTCCTCTGAAGATTCTGTTCGGAGTAGATAAAGTTTCAGCATTCTCCCTGGATGGGGCAGCTTAGCAGGTGAGTTCCTGACATTTCTGAGTAGACATCTGACTCCTCCTTCCTCCAGTCCTAAACTGCACACCAACTTCACTGGTCAGAGAAGCAGGCACCATACCCCACACCTTTGCATCCAGGTGACAAGCAGCCAGCACTTCTTCTAGGTGAGTTGAAGTGTTTCCAAGAGTGTGGAAGGTGAAAAACACCAGGGATTAGTGTCTAGGCTCCGGACTCAGTGTCTGAATTTGGTTCCACCATCTCGGGCCCTTAAGCAAGTCAGTATCCCTACACTTGCCTGCATTTTGGCATCTGTAAAATGGCAAAGATAATACTAACAGCAAATGGTTGCATGTATCTTCTTCCAATCAGACACGGTTCTGAGCACTTTACATATACCAGCCAGAGAATCCTCACATAGCAGTAGTTGAAGTCAGTAGTATTATTCTCCTCCCCCTCCCCTCCTCTCAGTGAGGAATAAATAAATTCTTACCATGAAGGGCTTGGAAATAGTTCAGGCCCCAAAACACTGAATAAGTTTCAGCTATTATTTGAGATGGTTTCAAAGGTCACATGGATAAGCATTTTTAGGTCCAGAGATGTGCATTTATAAAAATAAATGCAGGCAGGCCAGGCACGGTGGTTCAAGCCTGTAATCCCAGCACTTTGGGAGGCCGAGACAGGCAGATCACGAGGTCAGGAGATC